CCCCCTCCCCCATTCTTTTTACAATAAACATTACCCAGCCTATCTCTGTACACAGATTATTTGCAAAGGGTTTGCGAAGGTTGCATATTCGCACGCAAATCCTCGTAAAGGGTGCGCGGGGTGTACGGATCTAAAGGTTGATTTAATCCAATGTATGAATAGATAATATAATTTTTCGTCAACCTACTTATAGATGTATAGAACGTAAATAGTAACGTTTGGGTTCAATTTTTCCCTTGACTGACAATCCCAAAGGAACTGAGTTTGTCTGCCACACACCCAAATTTTATAATCCTTATTTCTTTGCAACCTGATGATTCAAATCTTTGATTTTTCAAGCTTACGTTTTACTTTAGATTGACGTGTAATCACGCCTTTAACCCCTTTTGTCCCTTTAAAACACTGTTTAGAGGAGTGTATGTACTGTGTTTTAATGAAACCGAAGGATTAAATAAGTTTATTTGTAAGAAGACGGAAGTCCTTGCAAGGAGCGATGTAATTCAATTGTTCTCCGTAAACGTCCGATCTCTAGAATCGAATAAGGTGTTCATAGATTACACCAAGCTGATTTAGAAAGAGGGGGGGGGGGGGTTGCCTATATAACTTTGCTCTTTTATACTCAATACTCATGCTAAGATTCTATAAATAACATTACATAATTTTTAAGCTTAAACGCCATGACATACCCTGTTCATGAAATGAAACAACAGATCTGTGTACACACAAAAATAGTATTTTTTATCTAAAAGAAAAAATGGAAACTTTTATTGATAAGATGCGGATCGCCCTGGATTCGTAAAAGAAGTCTTATCAATTTATATTTGTGATTGTATTGAGTTTTATGGTTTATTGATAAGAGAATTGATGACGGCCTTATTTGTTTACACTGCACAAAAAGGATAAAATATTCTACTTTCATATTTATCTATCCATCATCTAAGCTTCTTTATTTTTATTAAACATTTATACCTTGAAATCATCTGTCAATTCTTTAAACCAAGCAACTATAGATATTTCTATCTATCTATTTCACAAAAGTAGGTTATCTCACCTCTATCTATTTATCTTGCTATTTATCTACCTATCTATCTGGCTATCTATCGCATAATCTATCTATCTTTCTATCTGTCTATCTATCTTTCTACGGACTGGGAACTAACTGTATCAAAAATTAATATTCTAAAAGATGAAAGTAATTAAACATGAGAGAAGCAATTTATGCAATAATTATCATTAATTAGTGTTCAAATTAGGAACTATAAGCTATACTACACTGGGCATATAATACGTACTTTTTATAAAAAAAATATGGAAATCATAAGATATGTAAAATGTAGTTGTATGATATTAATAATAATAATAATAATAATAATACCTCTGTGTCCAGGAGTTAGATGAGTTTGCTGAGAGTTCTCTTGTTAACGAGAGTCCCCTCTACTTTACCCGGACAAGAGGTCTCTTCCGAGAATGTTTTCCTGGCGAGAAATCTGAAGACCCGGAAAAGACCTCTGCACCTCTTGGTAAGCATTTTTGAGTAAATATTGACGAAATTTCATGCCAACTTTATAGTAAGAGAATGCGTGTCCGATTAACATCGGAACAATTTAACCCATACCTGTGTAACAATGAGGAAGATATAATTTTTTTCTATCTAAAAAGTGTTGAATTCTGTTAATGTCTTTATTTATCTCCGAAGCCGAAATGCATACTTTTAAAACGATACCAAAATAAAAAAGTCATTTTCAGAGAGACAAAACATATCTCATTCATCAGACGAAGACTAACATATTGATTTAGATTCACTCTGGACCGTAGTAAATTTTAATTCGAACAGGACCTGCCCAGTTCGTACCGGACTGCCATATTCTGTACAGTACGTCGCCCTAACCAGACTAACATACGACAGGGGTCAATTTTCTTGGCATAGTCCCGTCGGAGGGTTAACTTTGACAACCCCCATGGCGCGTTCAGACTTTTTAGAGTACCCGGCCTAATCCTAGGCCTATTTGACCGACCCCACTAGATTAGTTCACCGTGGATTACCACTATATTTAAGCAACCTTGACATAATTTGCTCTAAAAGAAAAATAAATAAATTAAGAATAGATATTGCAATAAACACAAATTAGATAATGAAAATATGAAACAAGTTTTTTAAGCAGAAGTACACATTATTTAGATTAAAAAACTTTTGATGAATGTAATATATACGTAAAGTAAGTTTTCATGTAATTTAATTGAAAATATCTGAAATATCTATATTAAGTATAATTCAAATATGTATATATGTACTGAAAATCAAATTGTAAATATAGCATTATTGATATTTTGGATCAAATTTTATAACAAATTTTGTTAAACGGATTGTAGAAATATTTACAAATTATTCTCTATTCACAATGGCATACTTAAATCTTATACTCTGATCACAGGGATATTCATTAATTTATGTTTCTAAAATTGATTACTTTAATTGTGGTTTCTCCATAAAATTGACTTGTTGGATATCTGCATGAGAAGGAATGGAGGACATTAAACACTTTTCCAATTTAAAAACAACTATATTTTCAACAATTTTGCTTAGATAAAGATTAGTAGTGCATCGACGTGATATAATGGAAGATTTAAAATCGCAACATCAGATGATCAGACCCTTAGAAAAAAAAACTTTTTAATTAATTTTCTGTCGCGCACCCTCCCATACATATAATTTGTATAAACATCAATTAATTTGCACAGAAGCAAGCATATTGCAAAATCTTCCTGAATTGAATCTACACCTGGGAACCATGATAAGAATATATTATGAGCACAAGGATTATTTTTTGTTGTACAAAATCTGTATGAATAGTACATGAGCTGTCATCTGTATTGTTATCAAATGTACACTGTATATATTTGTATATCGGTCAGGTGGAATTGTACTTCAGAAATATGACATTGTGTAATTGGAGGTTTTAGTTGTAATGTACAGTGTACATGGGACCTGTGGAAACGTACTCCAGAATTTTATTATATTATGTACAGAGCCCAAAACTTAAGACAGGGTATCGTTATTAAAACCAGTTCTAAAACCCCGGTTTTATGAACGGGGTTAAGGAGTTTTGTGAAAATAAATATTTTTGTTATGAAATATTATATAATTCAGTTTGTTTATAGTCTCCATTGTTTTCGAATCTCTTAAAAAAAAAATCTACACAAGTGTTAAGACCCCAAAAAGGAAACTCATGAGTTTCGTTCAACGATACTCTTTTAAATTTCAGGCTCAGGGGATCTGGTTGAAGTTGAACTGTACACGGGTCCTGTTGAAACGCAAAGTGAATAAATACTAAAGTGGGCCAAACTCATAGTTGGATGACGACATTTTATGTCCCAAGTATTTATAAATATGTATATATATATATATATATATATTGGTTTGTATACGGAGTGTACAGTACAACAGAAACTGGACTCCCTTTGTTTACAAACTGCACAGACTTAGAATTTGTATTTAACTTAAATATAAATTAACTTAAATTAAGATTTCAGAAGTGAATTTTAGCCATTTTACTGCACAATAAATGATTTCAGACAGCACAATAATGCCTGCAAGCATAATCTGTTAAACAAGGAATGCACAAGTTGTATTTTGACAGATTTAAAAGTGGTTAAGAACTAGACATAGTTTTAAAGATATTAAGAGAGGCGTATTCAGGTTTTTTTCCCAGGAAGGGCTTACAATTCTTCGTCTTTTTAGGGGGGGGGGAGGCCAAAACTCCCCCGAAAAGAATATATTTCACTAGTCCGAAAAATGAAGATCTTCGAAATATATCTCTTTTGGTCTTTACTTTTGTATTTTGACAGATTTAAGAGTGGTTGAGAACTAGACATAGTTTTAAAGATATATAAGGTTTTTTTCCAAGTAAGGGCTTACATTTCTTTTTCTTTTTGGGAGGGAGGAGGCCGACCCCCCCTCCCCCCCCCCAAAAAGCATATATTTCACTGATCAAGGAGGGGGATGAGCCCCCATAGCCCCCTCCCTTGAATACGCCTCTGGATGATAACATAGATCTGTTTTGAGAAATTTACAAACATATTTTAAACTGGAGTGAGATTTGAAAGAACAAAACTAAGCAGTTTTAAAGATAAATTCCTTAAGAATTAGAAGTGCCAGGCAAAATCAATGAATTGATTAAGCGACTAAATAGTATTTACATATAAATTACATAGAAACGTACAAAATTTTTTGACTTTAAATCGTGAAAACTTCGAAGTTATATCTGAAGACGACATTTACATGGGTCTTTTGTCTATTTTTTCTAGTCTTTACTTTCCAAACGAAATCTTTTCATGAAATTATTTCCAAACCAAATAAAACCTTATGGCCCAACCTGTCGTCGTTGCCTTAGTCTGTTCCACTTTAGTATTTATTCACTTTGGTTGAAACGTACTGCACAAATTGTATTATATTATGTACAGGAGATCTGGTTTAACTGTGCATGATTCCTGTAGAAACGTACTGTTAGAAATTGTATTATATTATGTACAGGTGATCTGGTTGAACTGTACATGAGTCCTGTGGAAACGTACTGCAGAAACCTGGATTACTATATTCCTGACGAGGGCAGATCTAAGGAATTAACTGGAGAAGAGATGGTCAGAATACGTGAGTATTTTTTTATTTTCAAACATTTTTTTTTTGTACAGGATCTGAAACTTATCCTCAAACTGCAGTTTTCTCATTCCTTTATCTGAAGGTGTAAACCTTTGATATTTCAAACTTTGATTCCTTTCTCTAGCCGAACCCATGGTTTTCAATATCTAAGGTCTACGACATTTAGTTCCTTTAAAAAAAAATGCTCCTGTTTTCCAACTAATCTTTTTTTTTGTTTTTAAGAATATTTATCTTTCAATTATTTTCTACAAAATATTTGTATTTTTTTTAAAATTATTTATAATAATATTTTAGATATGGGTCGTGCCATGATAGCTCTGTTTATCGTGGGATTCTTCTTCATCTGTGTCTCGTTTATTGCTGGAGCCAGAGGCTGCTGGAAGACCAGTCCCACTAATATCACAGCCTCTGCTGTACTCATGCTTGTTGCTTGTAAGTACATTTCATCTACTACATTTCAAAACTGTATTCGGTTGCAGTTTGCTTTTATTCAACTTTCCACGTTTTTTGGCATATATTTCACAAAGTGTAAAAATCTAAATGTTTATAATTTAGAATAAACAATTTTTAAATATGCTTATTTTTGAATTTAAAGTTAAAAAATTCTGAGACAAAATAGGACATAATCGATTTGACTACTTCGAACTGATGTAAATCGGACATGGCCATCTTTGTATGGAGGTTCACTTAAAAAATACGCTTACCATCCCTTTAACTACTCCGGACTGGGTATTGGGACTGGGATTGAGTAAATTTAGATATTGTTCTATAAATGTAAAAAATAAATACTGTCTTCTGTGCTCTTGGCAACTATTTTTCTTCATTGAACCTGAATGAAAAACCTTAAATCTTAAAATTTTCTTTATGGTACTCAAAGGAAAGTAATAATATTAAATCTTGAGGAAAATTCGAGAAATAAAGAAAGCAAATCAAAATTTAAATATTTTCCTGAAAACATTTAGAATATAAACAATTCTAACAAATTCAAAAGGAGGTGGAATGCGGAAATATGCATTGAATTTGATCAAGTGACTAAAACATGCATCACTTAGTTCTATCTGCAACTTGTATGTTCATGAATTTTTCTATTTCTTTTAAACTGTTCAATTTATCTCTGTGTTTGTTCAGGTATGTTCAGTGCTGCTGGTATGGGATTATGGCATGGAGTTGAACACTGGGAAATGAACAAGATCAATGTAGAGACAAACACTGAACTTTTCGTCAAGTCATGGCCGGAGGTAAATACATTTTTTTATAAACTTAAACTTTTGTAAACATTAGTTAAACACACACTTCAAAAGAGTGGTTATGTCCGATTCTTAAGGTACCCTGTAAAAACTGTATGAGATAATTAAGGTGAAATATATCTGGCCACTTTTCTATCTTTGCCTTCATGGTCTCGCAAGAGAAAACCAAATTCAAATTAATCAAAATTCTGGGAGATCAACAGAGATATCTCAGTCAGTCTTTATCTGACAAAAGTTTGAAGGGTACCGCTGTGATTCGGATATATCACTCCATGAAAGGAGCATGACTAAAATGTAAACGTTCAATCCCTTTAATTAAATTTTCTTCCATTTATCTCACCCCCCCCCCCCACCGTTTAGTGCTTTTTTGCATCCAATATATTTTTTTCCTCTATTATTTTTCCTCCCGGACCCAAATATCTTATTTTCTTTCAGTTCTCTTTTCTTAGGTACATTTCCCCCCTCCTCTGCTAAGTATTTAGTGCAAAACAATTTGTTTGAATAATAGATTTTATTTCCTCTTTAAATCCTAAATTGTAAAAGTTTTCATGAAAAACCTGGCAAAATGTTTACTCATTTATATTTATTTTTATTTCGGTCTGTCTGTACATATTTTTAGTATAACTTTCCCTCTGTTTGTTTCTGCTGAACTGAGAGATCATGGATCTTTTTTTTAATAGTCCTAAAAAAAGAATCTTTTACTGATGCATCAGATTTTGTCACTTTAAATTTTAGTATAGGAAGAATGAAAACTAAAAACTCATTAAAAAATGTCATAAGAAAAATTACAACATTAGTATTAACCCTCATCCGAGATCGTCAGTTTTCAATTTGGAATATGGAAATTCAAGGCCGTTTCCTTGCTTTTTCGTTGATGTAGAAATCCAACGTTTAGCTTTCTAGAAAAACTGTGTTCTAGGATTGTACATTTTTAGAAAAGAATTGTCATTGGAAATAACATGGACAAAATATTTTCTAAAGTAATCAAACATTGATGCTTCTTATCTTTCATGGGTTAATTTTGAAAATTGTTTAAAAGTATAAAAATCCCCCTGGAGTATTATCAATCTACTTTTAATTGTCTATACTTAGATACTAATTATATTACAATATAACAAATTAATGTATTACTTTACACTAATCAGATTAATAGAAAACTAATGTGTAGATATATATCTAAGAAGAAGGGTTAAAAAATACATTTTTCAAATGGTGGAAATTTTTCCAATTAAATACTTTTGAGGCTAAAAGTGGGACAAGTTAAGAAAGTAATTGTAATAGTGTGAGTTTATCATCATATCCAATTTATGAATTTTGGTTTTTAACTTAATCGAAAAGGAATAATTCAAAAGAAATATAGAACATTTAATAAAATGAAAGAAATAGATAAAAACTTGATCTATACAAAGGATAGAACTAATTTACAGAGTACAGTTTATTCTTAGTCTTATCCTTTTTCTAGGGATCTTCACAACTTTATTTGTAACGATCGGCACAGTTCCGTTTGTAGGAATTGCCACAATTTTGTTTGTAGGGATTGCCACAGTTTCGTCTGTAGAGAAAGGCACAGTTCCTTCTGTAGGGATCGTCAGAGTTTTGTCTGTAAAGAAAGGCAGAGTTCCCTCTGTAGGAATCGTCAGAGTTCCGTCTGTTTGAAATCGGCACAGTGCCATTTTTATGTATCATCACAGTTCCGTCAACGAACGGAAGTTTTTGAAAATTGCGGAAAACACCGTTAACGGAAAACACGAACTGATAATTGAACCAAACGGTTATGTATTCGTTAGAACGTACCAACGTGCTCATCCGTAAATTTGTTTAATACAGATTTACAAGATTATATGAATTTTGCAACTATTTTCCCCCTTGCCAATTTGCTGCAAAACTTAGCGGATACTTTCAACATTATTAAAGTAATAAAAATTGCACGGACGAATAAATGTGAAACGATTAGAAACTTGCCTGGATAGTTGAAAACCAGATTATTAGATAAAATTCAAGAATCAGTAGAGGGATGTGGTCGCGTTTGGGAGAGTACACCTCGTAAACAATGCCGTCTCCTCTTTTATTCGAGTAATTTTGTTATTCTTTTATCGCCATGACATTTAATCACAAAAGAGTAAATTTTGATTAACCTCTAAATCTTGAACAATATTTATGATATAGGGATATTTCCTTATTTTAAATAATACAGAGGGTTACCAAAATATATAATTTTTTAATGACGACCTAGCAAACACGAACATCAAGTTTATGAAGTACTAAAAAATCTCAAAAATCTTTAAATCCTAACATTCAAGATTCTAGGTTTTTTAACTCTACATCACCCCCCCCCCCCCTACACCAACCAACAACAACCCTCCTTTTCATTTCGTTTCCGGATTCAGCAAAAATTTATTAAAAAAAAAAAAAAATTCTTTTATTTCTTCACAAGTCGTTCAAATATATTTTCAAATAAATAAACTCTGAAGCGTAAATCGTAAACAATGGAAAAATAAAACAATCAATTCTGAATAATTCTTTTAGTTTTAGATTTAAAAACTTCAATCTTTTTATGGCAGAAAAAGAAAACCCCGACCCATATAACGCCTCTTAATGCTACATTGGATCAAAAAAAGAAGAGGGTCGGGGGTATTTTTTTTTGTAAAATGTATTGTCTTTTGTTGTTGTACTTGAAGCCGTATATTACCTTGTCTAGCATATCATTTCCAAGAATACAAGTTAGGAAATTTCTAAATTTAAATTTCATAGTTTTAAAACACCCCCCCCCCCCATCACAGTTAATTCTTAATTCTAAATCAATTCTTTATTCAAAAATTTATTTTATTTTTTAAGCACCTTTTATAAAAGGTACTAAGTACAGACTACAGAGAGCCCCATCAAATATTGTAATTTTTATACTTTTCTGGATCCTCTTATAGTTCCAATGAAACTACATAACAATACTGAGAATTTTTGTGTGCATACGTTTTGTTTTTCGATATTTTTTTTTTTAATGAATAATTGAACTTCAATTTTGATTCAAGAAAGGACATTTAACAATGTTTTTAAATGTCTCTAATCCTTTATAATAGGTAATTGTTTATTTATATTAACCTCGTGAGAAATATCCTCGCAAGTCATAAGCTATCTGACAATTCTAACCTCTACTTAAAAGGATTGGTTTCATCATCACGATTTCAAAACTTTCAATCTTTTTTAGATGAGCACTTATTAATAGGATTTAATAATCAATACTTCACATTTAACAAAAATTTTATTTGTTTCTTTATTATTGTTTATTTTTAGAAACTTCGTGAGAAGACTGAGTTTAAGTACGACTGGTCCTATATTGTATCATGGATCGGAGTAGGACTTGAGCTACTTTCTGCTATTCTTTTCAGGTACTGTACCCCCTCACCAACCGAATCTCTGTAAGAAAGTCCCGGGAAAAAAGTTTCTGGAAAAATAACCTGGAAATAAAATCTTTGGAAAAAAGTCCGAATATTCTTGGAAAAAGTCCTTGGAAAAATGTCACGGGAAATAAAGTCCTGTGTTTTGGATTCCTGGGACTGTTTTTTCCTAAAATAGTATGGGGGCTGCCAATAAAGTATCAGGAAATAAGATCTTAGGAAAAAAAGTCCTGAAGAAAATAAATCCGAGGAAAAGAAAAACCTAGAAAAAAAGTCATAAGTCCTGGGAAATTTGAACTCAGGAAAAAAGTCCTAAGAAAAGTTGTGTATAAAATCCCCTGTACAAGTGTACTATATACATCATATACAGGGATAGTTCTATATTCTTAAGTAATATGAAAAAGAAAATGCTAACTAAACTAAACTCTTCTGAGAGGTTTTCAAAAAAAGGACTTTTTTCCATGTGCAATTTGGAAAATGAGGTTAAGTCTGAGAAGTTTTCAAAAAGGATGTTTACAACCAGGACTTTTTTTCCATCATGAATCATGGATTGTCAGTTGTTAGAGGACTATTTTTCCGAGGACTTTTTTTGAACATCATACTGGAGCCAGAAAAAAAGTCCTAGAAAATAAAGTCTCGAATTGGAAGGACTTTATTTCCGGAGACTTTTTTAAAACAGGAATTTTTTCCACATGACTTTTTTATTGTGAAATTTTAGGACTTTTCTTCCGGAAACTTTTTTCCCAGGACTTTTTTGGTGGTTACCTCACCAACCCCCTCCCTAACCTTCTTCCAAAACACAACCCCCTTGCAGCTAATCAGTTTTGCAAATTTCAGCACAATTTCGATATTGCTGTTCCATCAAAATTGGTGAAAGAATCCATTTTTTGTAAAGTATTGATAAAAAAATCAGTTTTTGATCTCCACCCCCCCCCCCTCCCCCCTATTAAAGAAATTCTAATTTATTTTGGTTTTATTTATTTCTTAATCTACTGCAAGATCGGCTAATGCTTTGAGAGGGATTACATCGTTTAACCAGATTCATTCAGAAGGAAATTAGATTTTCAACATTGAAAGAATTTGTTTGAAACTTATCTTAAAACTAGCCCAACTTTCTTTAAGAAATATGCGTCATGGATATTGGATGGTTTAATATGCGTCATGGATATTGGATGGTTTAATATGCGTCATGGATATTGGATGGTTTAATATGCGTCATGGATATTGGATGGTTTAATATGTTAACATTTTTGATGAAGATATCTTTCCAGTGATGGTAGCATTAAGTTGTGGTTGATTTTGTTGTGGTTGATATTGATGTGGTTGATATTGAGATCGTTGATATTCATATGTTTGATGTTAATGTGGTTAATATTTTTATGGTTGATATTGAAGTGTTTGATATTGACGAGGTTAATATTGATGGGGTTATTATTGTTGTGGTTGATATTCATGTGTTTAATATTGATGTGGTTGATAAAGATGTTGATGTTTAGCCTGGCCGCTGTCTGTATTAGAACCGACAAAGAACGAGAAGAGGCGATGAATATGCAATATCTTATGCCAGGTATTATTGTTGTTATTATTATTATGAATATTATTTTATTATTATAATTATTATTATTATTATTATTATTATTATTATTATTATTATTGTTATTATTATTATTATTATTATTACTATTATTATTATTATTATTATTATTGATATTTGTTTTATTATTTTTATTTCAGTGTATCAGCAGAAGCAACATCAACAGCAATATGGACCTTATGGATACGCAGCCTACCCTGGTCCTTACTACGGGTCCCAATATGGTCCATACTAAATCTATTAGTCTATTCTAAGGATTTAAATGTGGTCCATACAAAGTGCTATGGTCCAAATCAAGATGCTCTATTTTATGGTTCTATATATGGTCCATAGTAAGATGTTTGGTCCATATTAATAATTTTTATACTAATCAATATGGTCCAATATAAGGGTCTTGAAATGGTTCATAACTGGCTTCATGTTCCTTTTAATGGTTTTAACAAATAGTCCATAAAAAGGGTCGATTCTCGAAAAACCTAATTTTAGATGGTTCCTTTTACTGATTCATGTATGGTCCATTAAAACATTTAGGTCATATGAAGGATCCTAATATGGACCATACAAGCCAAGATGGTCCATGATCAAAAGAATGTTTTAGTTTAGGTCCATACTAAACCTCAAATACATAGTACTTTATATACTTCGGAATCAAGTTGATAAGTACATATAAGTCCAAGTATTATCCATAGAAAACTGTTTTTGTTTTTTATGTACAGTATTGTCGTACAGTAAACTGTAAAGTGTACGTCAAAATAAAACTCTGTGTGCAGTCAAAAAAAAAACTTTTTCGTCAAGAAATATTTATCCAAAATAAGCTCTGATGATTCATGTGTACTATGATGTATTTTAAATAAATTGAATGTAAATAATCTAAGTTTGTTTACGTTTATTCCCACAAACTGCAGTACAATCTTTATACCATCTTTGAATACTTCTAGCGATATTATTTCTTGACTGAACTAAGCTGTAAAAACAACACAGTCAAATGTAAATAAATAAAAAATGTAACTAATAGCTCCCTTCAATTTTGCCAAATTTTCTTAAATTATCTTCAAATTATTTTCAAAATTTCGATTTTTTCACCCGAATTAAATTATCTTATTTTCGTCTGACTAAAATTCATTAAATTCTAAGATTAAAATCGACCGAACAAGAAAATACTAGTTAGCTCTGGAAAAAAAAATCATAAAAGACGTCTAGAAAATAAAATCCCTGTATTAAAAATAATGTACAAACTGTGCTCAATTCTATATAAAACAAAAGAAGAACGGAATCATGTAAAATGGTTTATCGCAATCTATTCAAGTTTACTAAAATTTTAAGGACAGTTTAACGGTTTAGAGCAAAGATGGGATTGAAATAACTTTGTAGGGTTGATTGTTGATTGAGGGATTACAAGTATTCTTTAAGCTTACCTCTGAATAGAAAATACTGGTTTATTTTAACAAGTCAAAAGTTTGAACCTGATTAGAAAATGTTGCTCCTAACCGTTAAACTATCCTTATTTTTATTAATATATTTGTAACACTGAGTAACACATTAAGAAAGTTAAAATGTTTCGAGCCAACGATCTAGCTTTGAGGTGCTCATTTTTATACTGGTTGCTATAAAATATTTTTGTTATTCTATGTTCTTAAATTACTCAACACTCTTCCAATCAAATTTCTCCTGTATCTCTTGTAAATAAATATTATTGTAATGTAATATTTGCTTCATTATTAATAAATGATGAAAAAATGTAACATTATTAAAGAGGACAAAGCATAGAGAATGTCACAGTGATCCGAAGTTTGAAAGCTGTGACAATGAAACCGATGAGAATTTTACCAATTACATTTAAAAAACTAAAGCTAAATCCAAGTGCTTAATAGTTTTTAATGTGCTGTTTAGGTTTTAATTAAGGTGTATAATTTCAAGTAATCATAATATTTTCTAAAACGTTTAAATGTTTAAAATACACGCATCGAAGAGAATTTATTTGTTGAGTTTTTTGTTTAATAATTATTTTATAGTTAAACTTTAATAAATACACAAGAAGATCTATTTTTGCATGAGAGTTTGCAACCTTCGGACCACTGTACAATCACTCTGCAATTTTTTGTCCGTTTCTAGAACTGCCAAAACTTAACATTTTCCTTATTTGAGACTTGAAAGGAATGTAACACATAAAATGGTGCAGTGGTATATTGCATGACAAACCATAATATAAGATAAAGTAAATAATATAAAGATTTGCATACAACACGTCTCGGAAGTCGGAATGACGTATAAAACTTATTCTAAGAATATTTTTGTGAATTGTCCATATTGGCTAAAAGGTTTCACTCTAGCAGATAAAAAAACTCGGGTTTACAATTTAATCTCGAGATTTTTGTATCCTCATCAGTCCTCTTTACTCAACGAACGATTTTACTGAACGTTCGTTCAGTGAGAAAACAAACGAAATAGATGAAAATTAACGATAATTTTGAGAACGAACGAGATCAATTCTTTTTTAAATTATTTAAAAAATTAACGTAATGGGCTGTTCATGAACGATGAACAAACATAATGAAAAAAGCTGAACGCGCCCATCTATAACTGGGCATAATGGAAGTCCAATAAACATGGGATTTCAGTGAAGACATTCTGGTAGTCTTTTATATTCGATTTCCCTGCATAGACTAAACACTAACCAGTTCAAGATGGGTTCGGTTTCTTGAATTTGAATTAAATTTTGGTTATTCAAACATCTTTAAATTTACGGAGTTTTTATACTTATTAATTTAAAACACTTCCGCCGACAAAAATTATAAAAAGAAAAAAAAGAAAATTTGATGTTTGACGTGTCAAATTGTGATTTGTTAATTCATCGTGACGAGATGAGTCTTTCAAAATGTGGTCCACCGATTTTAAAATTCTCAGAAAACCCCGGATCAGACCTAAAAATGGTTTTTACTATTTAGGTGTGATTCCTAAACAGTGCTTGGTTTAGGAGGATTTATTAATTGTCAAAGACAACGTCCTGATCACATTTTAATTTTTCCCGATCTTTAAAGTTAATCCATAGTTTTAAAACTGTGTACAGTACTTAGTTTTGAATTTTGTCCTCAGTTTTAAGGAAATAACTACAATCTTTTAAAAAAAATGTTTATTTCTTTTTTCATCACAATTTTTGAAAAATTCTAAGAAGGGTTGAATAATTACAATAAACATGACATTCATAAAAGATATGTTTGGCATAAAATGTACTGCAGATCACACCTTTACATTGTTGGTGGAAGGATTGTAAACAATAAAAAGCTGTGTACAGCTGAGTATAGGATACAGCCAGACCTAGCAGAGGATTTCAGTATGTGAACTATGGTAAAGTGTTTCGGTTCGGTTCGTTTTTATGAAATTTTATTAAAATATTTCAAAAGTCTATTCTGTTAAGTTTGCTTTTTTAAAATTTGCAATATTTTTATCCTAAATAAAGGAAAAGGGAAGAAAAAATGATGGTTTTTGCTTCGTTTTTTTGCATATAATTTCTCTCAGGGTCAATATTTGGCAAGACAAAACAAATAATTTTTTAAACATTTGGTGTTCTTACACTTTACCAAATTTTGAAACCGCCATCTGTAAAGGTTGTCCACTGAATCTATACAAAACAACTTAAAATTTCAGACATTTTGGATTTAAATATATCTTTAGATTTGCGTTTTGTTGATATCCCTGTTGGGTTTACTTAAAGATTAGGACACGCAACCCCCCAACCCCTGACCCACATGCCTCCAATAAATTTTTTGTTATAATGGCAGACTTGACAAATATGCATTTTGATAAAGGTTTCAGGTTCAAACTTTAGAATCTGCAAAAAATCTAAATATTTTCTTGGAGATATCCACTATCCAGTTTCATTGGAAAAAAATATTTCCAATAAAAATGTCCAAATCATGATAAATTACAACTTTCAGGATCTAAAAACCATGAAATACTGAATATGTACAAATTCACTTTGAAAGAGTTTCTTCAAAAAAAAGTTTAGAAAGAAATAAGAGTTTTTGTCTTTGCAACCCAATTGCGTAGACTTTAGATATTTAAAACTATGAATTCTGTCAGATTAAATAATCTATGTTTGGAATATCAAAGGTTTACAACATTAGTTTTCAAAGATATGGGGATTCGGAAATTGGAGTTTGTGGCAACTACTCAAAAGGTTTTCCTAGTAATTATAATTGCATGAAAAACACGATCAATTTATTTATGTTGTATATTGTATACTGTATCAGATCAGTTTATAGGTTTATAGGATCTTAGGCTCTTTGATTAAGCAGAATTCATAGTTAAAATATCAAAGATCTAAGACATAAGGTTGCAAAGATATACGGATTAGGAAATCAGATTGTGAGGCAAACACAGTTTCTTAAAAAGAATTTGAAAAAAATCATAAACACATATTTTTTATTAGTTTCTATTATAAAATATAAATAACTAGTAAATTGAAAGTCTATTATTATCATTAAATGTATATGAATTGTAATAATAAATCTTTCTGATTTGTAATTATATATGTTACACTGTACTGTAAAGATACACATATATATATGTACAGAGCACATCGAAATATATCTATTTATTGTACAAGAATATAAAGGGTTACCCATAAAGGACGAGACTTCAGAGACGACTGTACAGAATTTACACTGTCTATTTCCTTATAATTATTATTCTCTGCAATCGTAAACTTGTTTCTTTCATTGCCTAATCATTGATTTAGCCATTAGAAGTCTGTATTCACAGAAGAAGACTTAATTTAAGCTTGGAATCGTCAGGTTTAAAGAATTCAGGTCGTATTTACAATCTCATCCTTTGTTGATAACCCTGCATGTATATAATACTTTCAAGGGCTTCAAAATTAAACACAAAATTACATTTTATTGGTTTATTTAAAAGGACAAACGTAGGACAAAAAACGAGATATCAATATTTTATTTGCAGGGGTAAAAATCTCTGTACCGTACGGACTTATAAGGAGCTAGAGAAAACTGTACAGACTACAGGGTTACCCACAAAGAATGCAACTCTAATGACGACCTTAAACTCTTTTAAATTAACTTTCTAGAGGTTGAGATAGGTTTTTAATCTTAAAATAGTTTTCAATTGTTACATCAGATGATTTACAGCTACTGAGAACCATGAATTTATAAAAGAAAGCCAAATACATTCTATGTAGTCGTCTAAAAAGTCTCATTTTGTTATGGTAACCCTGTATATTAGACAAAATAGAAAAGTATGCCCAATTAAACAGTCTCCTCTTAGCAAGATTATGGTAATTGTGGTCCTTGGGTCTACCATTGTAAATAAATATTTTACAATGGTAGAATGTTTTCTTGTCCTACGTTAGTCCTTGTCCTAAGTTTGTAAAGCTACTGGTATGTTTGTCCTGTCAATATATTATACTGTTATTATAGTTGATACATGGTGACCCAATAAATATGGAAATAAATTAACATAATCTAAATCCTTTTTGTTCGACGCGGCATTATATCACAATATCCCAGTTAATACACTTTATGTTTAAGACAACTAGTCTCAGGATTTCCAAAATGAGGTCTTTTATTTTTGAACCTTCAAGTTAATTAAGTTATTTTGAACTTTTCCAGATTGCCATTTAGCTAATAACAGAAAAATTGTTTAAATGTTAATATCACCGTCATTTTAAAGATGCAAAAAAGGAAGACACCACTTTCGGAAATTCTCATACAAGCATGTTTTGATACACTCATTTTGTCATACCAAATATCGGAAAAAAAGTCGAGTCTTTACATACTTTCATGTTAAATGGGTCACCCTGTATAATCTATCAATCAATTGCCAAGTATTAAATCCAAAACCTTTTTAAGGACAATGATAATCTTTAGATAAACATATATATATATATATATAGAAAATAAAAGGGTTAAATACATTTTTACAACGTTTGTCAAATACTCTTAAAATAACATTTTCTTTTTTAGTAAAACGGGTTAAAATTAGACAAGTATTAATCCTTCTTGGTTTAAACTGGTTTAAATAAGTTTTGGATTGAATAAGCTAAATGAAAGCTGATCCACTATAGACACTCTGCTCAATTCAGCCCTAAAATCATGAAAATAATTATTTTTAAAACTAGATTTCCAGGGCGCTTCGCGCATGTCTTCGATCTTAACTTTTAATTGTTGCTCTATCTACTGCACTTCATGTAGAATTGAAAAATGGTTTGAGTTGTGCTTTTTTGCCTGACGCCCTAAATGTATCATTTAAAAAAGTAGTTTTGCCAGGAAGAGTCAAATGTGGTGGACTGGAAGGGGAAATAGTGGTGACTTATGGCTGCCGGAAGAGAAAAAAGCTAATTTGTGGCACGAAAGGGGAAATAGTAGTGGCTCATGGCCGCCTGCCTTCCCCCTCGTTTTAATGGATTTCATGATTATAATATCACCTATGATGTCTCTAAAAAATGCTAATTTACCCCTCCCCCATTCCCCATTCCTCTCCCCAATCTTTTCAGGGGGATTTTCTCGTTTTCCCAAGCCCTTAAGGCGCTTGTTCTGTATTTTAAATGCTGCTTTCATGTAACATTTTTCCAAAATATAGTGCAGAATAATACAACCTACTACCCCCTGTTTTGAAAAGAAAAGTCCCATTTCCAACCAAAAAAATGTGTCTATTCTAATTCATCCCCTTTCCCATATGCTTGATCAGACTAAGCTCTAGGTTACCGTTGTGAATCGAGCATTGCCATCATAATATGAAGGGTCACTTGAAATTACATATACACTATGTACAGTATACATTCCCTTACAGAAAAATAAAATAATCCCAGGATTGTTGTACTCTAAGGCTAAACTACCAGGGAGTAAGAAATAGAAGGGAGATATAACAGACGCAGTTCGCCCTACCGTATGATTATACATGCTTTGCAGACGGGCAATGCATATGAATAAGAAATATTTGTCTTATGTACATTTACTGCGTATACAATAACCTATTCTGAATATTTCATATACAAATGGAACTCCCGTCTGCAAAGCATGTATGATCATATGGTAGGGCGAACCGCGTCAGTTATATCTCCCTTCTATTCCTTACTCCTTGTAAACTACTCAGCAAAACAAACGTTGCCTAGAAAATTGAAAATAAATCTTGGTAAACATGTATTTTATTCATCGTCAATATTTATTCTTGGATCAAAAGAGAATCTCAGATCTTGAAAACATGAAAAACAACTCTAAGAAATGGATTTAAAAATCCATTCAAATATTTTTGGCTTATTCAGCATTTGTTTAAATGACTCTGGTTTAACTGGTTTAAATTTCTTATTTTTTAAAGCTATTACAAAACAATTTCTTACTCTGTATAAAAGGAATTTGTTATGTGCAGGGTCGGATACAGACTGATTAGAATTTAATGATTAAGAAAAATCAAAAATAGCTGTCAAAAAAATACCAATTAAGGGGAAACCTTGTATAAGATGTTTAGGTTGACAGAGGTCTAAATGTGGAGACCCCAGACTTTTCAGCGGAGACCCGAGGCTTTTCAGCGGAGACCCGAGGCTTTTCAGGGGAGACCCGAGGCTTTTCAGCGGAGACTTTTCAATGGGGACAAAGATGCTTTGGCTCTTCAATTAAAAGGTTGGCTTTCCCAATGAAAAGCTCAGGCACCCAAAAAAAATGTAAGTGTCTCTGATGAAAAGCTTGGGGTCTCCGATTAAAACTTTGGGGTTTCTGATGGTTCTCCGACAGGGGCGGATACAGGGGGGGGGGCGGCAGGACCATTGCACCCGAGATTTCAGAATAAATTCTCAATATCATTTAAGGGAAAGAAAACTTAGTGCAAAACAGAAAAAAAATATCTATCTTAAACAAAATTTTCGCCTGCGGCACGTCTTTTTGTTTCTAAATCTGGATTTTTTTGTTCCAAAATAAATCTAGCCCCATCCTCACTTTAATCCTGTATCCGCCCCTGTTCTCCGGTGACAGGGGGTCTCTAATAGTACTCCAATGATAATTATTTTTTCCCCCTGAATTCCTTATCCCGGGATTAAAAAATCAAAAGTTTTGATCTCTGTCCCTCTAAAGTACACAATACACTACAAAATCTTATTTATACCTGATAATTTCCTTCCCTCGTTGTTCCATAATATTGGTAACACTCTCCTGGATCATACCCATCAATACCTGGACAATACATAAATAAGGATCTACACTGCAAATGGAGATGGGCGAGTTCGCTTTAAAAAAATGTTTATCTTTCACAAACGACCCATTTCGTTCGGTATATTTTCAGTCATTCAGAAAACAAATTGAAATCGTTTATTTTCAGAACCATCGTTCATTTTCCATCTATTTCGTTCGTTTTCAAATTGTATGTTCTTTAACTTTTCTGAACGAACAGATATAAACGATATAACTAGATGGGGATCGAAGAAATTCTTACAATGTGTTTCGCCAAAAGAAATTTCTATAGCATATTAATCTCCCCAGAAGAGGATTATTCATTTGATGTACTGTACTGCTTGCCGTCCCGAGTGGTCTGTCTAAATTGGTATAGTTGGATAACATTGGTACAGTACTTTTAATGAACCTGTCGAGTGATTGGTTAAAGACAAAAACTTTTCTATAATCTGAACTACTGTTAAGTCACCAAACGCTCTTGTTGGGCAGTGGCAGGGGGGATGATATTTTCCTACCAGTGCGCTCAGTTAGCTGTACAGTACACTTACAACTGCAGTTTACTGATATTGATATACTATAGGTTAGGACAGAATCTACTTACAATAAACAAATATACAGTACGCTCTCGTTACAGTTCATGGCCTGGCCTATACAATTAGTAAAGGATAAGCGTACATCATCACTCTATACACTATAAACTCGTTGGCAGTGGGCACCCTTTCACCCTTGGTGGTGTCTTCTGGGACCGAATCTAATGAATTTAAGCTAGGTTGCTCAACAACATGACAACGTGGAAGTTAGAATCTCCAATTTAAGATACGTGGTTGAACCATCCCCAGACCTCGCTCAAATTCATTAAATGCGGTCCATGGGTTACTGGCCAACAGTAGAACTATTTTTTTCTATAGATAAGGGTAACCAGTTTGAAAAACTTGATCCTGAAAAGTCAAATGCAAAATCTTCTTTGCATTTATACATTGCTATTTTAAAAGGACAACGTCCAAAAATACACTTATTGCAAAAATTACAAAACAAGCGAAGTTTACCTTTTTGCCAACCCAGTTGAGGGGGCCCAGACCATTCAAACCAACACTCAAACCCTCCATCTGCTTCACAGAGTATTCTACAACATGTACACTGTTACACTGTACAGTATTAAGGGTGATCGATTTTAAGAAGATAATCCCCCACAAGAGGTCGGTAGTGAACATATTAAATATTCTTTATCCAAATTTTAGCCTTCTAAGTTGAAAAACTTGTCCAATGGACCAAACAACGAAACTATTTTTTTTTAATTTCACTTAATACATGATAATACATCTTGGAAATTCTATGCTGAATTAAGATTTGAAATCAATTTAAAAGAATATTAAAATTGAAAAAGATTAGGGAATATAGAAAAAACCAAAGTTGAATTCAGCAAAACTTACCAAGACAAAACATTAAATTTTCTCCAACTAAATCTTTTTTGTGTATGGAATTATTTTAAATTTAGATTTTTGGCCATCGGAAAAAGTTATTTAACTTAAAAGACTAAAATTTCTAATATTTCAAGAATTTTTTATCCAATAGAATTTAAAGTTTGGAATATCTAAAGTTTACGACTTTGGTTGAAAAGATATAGGGGTGAGAAAATCAGAGTATGTTGAACGAACATTTATACAACGTTCTATGGTTTGTTGGGGAGAGCTGACAAACTGTAAATATATCTGATATTAAATGAGCACATTTACAATGTAAAGAAAGATATATTATTTACAATGTATTTGTATTCATCCATTCTCATTTTCATGTTTAATGTCCACACTCCACAGACAGTGTGTTTTTCTCATAGATTGATAACAACACAGGCATAAAACTAGAGGCAGAGACCCAAAGGAGATACACGCATGCGGCGTAGAAAGGGCTCGCTCTATGTAATTTGACGCAGCGTTATCCTTCTGCCTCAGGGTTATTGTTAAAGAAAAACCTCTTAATTTTGAAAAGACGACATCTAGCGTTCTATCTGCATTGTTATTAACCTATGGCTTTTCTTTATAAGAGTAAAAACTAAGTATTTTAAATAAAAAGCTTAGTTAACAAACAATATTCCTTCGGTCTTTTAGAATTTGGAAATTTAGACACATTTTGTATTGTTTTCATTTACCTCTTGAGTTCAGAGTATAATTGTTAAACGAAAGGTATTTGCCATTCTATGTTGCGCGCGCATGCCCCGTAAAATTCCAAAACAAAGAGAGGGGGATTGAATTTTGTAGATCCAGAAAGATAATATCTGTGGGATGCCTGCGTAGAGACTGGAAGCTGGTGGGGTCTTAAATGTAAGACATGTGGCCGCAGCGCTCGGCCCCATAGCCTGTCCTAGCCGTAGCGTTCGGCCCAGAAAGTGTCTTATCCTAACCTAACCCTAAATAAATACTAATTTCTGGATCTACAAAATTCAATCCCCCTCTCTCTGTTTTGAAATTTTACGGGGCATGTGCGCGCAACATAGAATGGCAACTCCCTAAACGAAATTCCTGACTCATGAGTTTCTTTTTTTGGGGTTTTTATATTTGCGCAGATTTTAATTTGAGAAAAATTATAAAAGAAAGAGAGAATATTAAGAAACCAAATTAAATAATATTTCTTGACAAAAATATTAATTTCTACAAAACCGCCTTTCAAGAAACTATAGATTTCCGATACTGGACATCATGACATCAGGACGTTACTCTGTTTGAAATTTCGGACCATCAGAGACGTTAACAGTATTGGGCCTAGGCCATCTTCTATTATGTACTTTGCCTCTAAAAACATTCAATAATTATGGGAGG